AGCACAAATGATTGGTAACTGGCTGACACATGGTTTAAGATGGAAGATGATTTTTATGTTTTTTATGTTCTTGTTTATGTATGTTTGTGTTTGCTGTAAAAAAAAAAAAAAAGCATTCCATCAGTGGTGAAATACTGTTTATATTTTTATAAAATATAAATAAAACAGAATGCCCCGTAATGAGATGCAGTCAAAATGTACCATAACTTTCTATACTGCCCTCCCTAAATATATGTTGCTCCTTTTAATACCATCTCATGGCAACTCTCTTGATCAGCCTGTATGATTTGTTTCCATTAAGGGAGACACTACTTTTAAATACAGTTTCTGCAACTAACAGGCTACAGAGAGTGGGCAGATGCTGCACAATCTCCTGTCTAAAAGTATTCTTCCTGCTAAGGAAAATGGCTGTGTAATACCTCACATAAAATATTATCAAAATATCCTTTCCCTTGTTTGCCATTAATGGTCATCAGCTTACTGATATAATCTGAGTCATACACACATGACTTTACACTTAAGATTTTAAGTGCTCCAAGTACTAGAGAGTGCTTCTCAAGACAGCATTGTTAACTGATCATACTGGTCATTCACCACCAGTATGGACAATGACTTACTGGATCTTGCGGGGTGGGATGAGGCTGGGATTTGCTAGGTGGTTATTATTCATCCTTAAACTTTCCAGAATTAATTAAATACTATAACGTGGGGGGGGGATTTGTTTTGGCTAGGAGAACTTTTAGAAGTAAGGTATGTGTGGGTGTATACTGGAGGACTGGTATTTATACTGCTGTAACTTTGTAGTTTAACTAAGTAGAAAATCCACTCTGGGGAAAAGTCTTATGAATAGCAGTGCAACATACTGATTGACCTTACACATGCCTCTTTCCATACAGTAACTTCAAAGTAGCTTTACAACTCCACTTTTGATGCAATATTATTCCATTCTTGTAGTCAAATGTCTACATGTGTGAGAATCTCTGTTCTTGCCCCCACACTTCTATACAATTTTCAACTATACTGACCTATTCCAAAAATAACTCTTTTCTTAAATATGCATAAATAACAAAGATTCAATATATTCCCTATATTCCTTTTTGGATCCTTTTCTGTACAATTGTACCAAAGTTTATTTTGCAATTGTTATCTTTTCTTGGAAGGCAGGGAGACAAGGGTTGGGTTCATCCCATTCAATCATCCCATGAGGCAGGTTTGTTTGAGGGGCATTGCTGTACATTGCCCTATACTATAAATAATCATTTATGTATGCCAATGACTCTATTCATGCAACACGCTAAGCCAAACCCAAAAGGCTACATACATAATATGTTTGAACCCAACCAATATTTTGCCTGGTGGTCTTCATGACTGTTTTCCCACCTTAATCTGAGGCGCTGACCACTCCTTCAAACTAGCTTGCTCATCAGCTAAAGAATTACTCTAATGTGCCAAATCTTAATCACATGTCTTTCAACAAAAATCACTTCACCTCAGCCAACGGAGCTGGCAACAAGACAAGTACATACATTCGGAGACATTTCAGGATGGGGGGAGGACAGCAGCAAACTGAAGACTATAAACAAGTTTGTTATGAAGATGTCCCTCATCTGACCATAAACCACAATCTGGAAAAAAGGATTTAATTGATCAATTGTAGGAAACTGGGAATAATGGAGTTCATATATCACACTAAGCTACTGCCTAGGTTGATCACGTAGGTACTTCAGGTAAGAGTTATTAAATACTTGGAGGGGTGGAGTCTGAATGAAGAAATAAAGGCCCTACAACAGTGTTTCTCAACCTTAGCAATTTTAAGATATGTGGACTTCAACTCCCAGAATTCTGGGAGTTGGAGTCCACATATCTTAATTGCCAAGGTTGAAAAACACTGCCCTAGACTGAGCTGGCTCTGTTCTGAGTTGTATTTCATTTCCCCACTGATTTTGAGTAGGATAAATGCAATGTACTCCAGTAGATACTTGACACTCCTGAAGATAAACTATGACACAATGGGGTGAGCGCTGTAGTTTTTTCTACAGGTAATAATAATAAAGGGTCCCAAATTAGCTTATGAAGTCCTTTAATAGTGGACATCTAAGAACAGATGTACATGATTCTTTTTTCACAGGTATCCCAGGAATATTCCATTGCATAACCTCTCTGATAGACAGCACAGGCTTCTAGATTTAGATTTCTAAAGGAGCTGTGGGTATATAGATACGGATGCTCAGGATTCAGGGATATTGCAGTGTTATTTCACAGATCTTAACTAATGAAATTATGACACCCTTTTTAGCCCAAGACGCCCTTACTGAACAAAAACCAAAAATAGGACATTGGTAGTAGTCCCCAACTAGAGTCCCCAAATTCTGCTCTTAAATGGCTGTGTTAATTACCAGGCAATCAGAAAGCTGGCTGGTAGCCCAAGGCTTAAGAAATAGAAAATTCTAAGGATGGTTTTTATAATCAAAACATGTTAGATGTGAAATGTGTTCCATGCTAATGGCTAAAATTCCAGCACAGGAAGCAAGTCACAGGAATGAAGAGTGGGAGGAATTTGGAGAAGTACTCTTAGATGTGGGGAAAATATTTAGGGTCAGAGTTTATGAGATAAGGATCCTCTAGCTACAGCAAGCAATATACTGTATACACTAATGCTTGCAGAATATAAATTCAACACATGTATATGTATACATTTATATAGATAGACATTACACACACACA